AGAGGGTGGTGGGGGTTGCGGGCCGAGTCCGTTTACGAGTTGGGGACAGGAGGAGGCGGGGGCTGGCCGCTGCAGCGAGGAGGCGCCGGGAGGGGGGAGCCGCCTCATCCCGCCTCGCCATTGGTGGGGGCGTCACTCTCAGGACGACGCACGTCGCCTCCCATTGGCCGACGGCGACTGGCTGAGCCAGCCGCCCCTTGAAGGATGGGCGGGAACGCGTGAAGCGACGGGCGGCGCGCCGGGGGGTGGGGCGCGGTAGCGGCGGCGGCGAGGGGTGAGTTTAGGCGGGCGAGGGGTGTTCAGGCCGAAGCCCCGGCCCGGCACACGCCTCACGACCCTTTATCTTCATCCAGCCCTGGAGTCGTGTGACCGCGCGAACGCACCACTGCCCCTACTGCCCCGCCCCCACAAACTAGCCCCCACACGAGCCAAATGCACCTTCCTTAACTTCCGAGCTGAATGATAATGCCGACCAAAATAATGGTTTACAGGGTGGGTGACACTGTAATCTTTATGGCGACACGTGTGACCAAAATTCGGTGACACATTTATTTTGGCGACTTCCCTTTTTTGTCGCCAAACTTTGGCGACATCCGAGATGTGACCATAATTATGGAAACAGACATGTCGCCATGACAGTTCCAATTGAGAGCATAAAATTTGTCACCCTCGGTGTCACTTAATTTGGTGACGTTTTCGTCGCCTTGACGGCAACACATATGTCACCAAATAAGGTGACACCGAGGGTGACAAAGTTTATGTTCAAAATTGGACCTATCATGGTGACATATCTGTTTCCATAATTATGGTCACATCTCGGATGTCGCCAAAGTTTGGCGACAAAAAAGGGAAGTCGCCAAAAGGGGAATGTCGCCAAGTATGGTCACAAATGTGTTGCCATAGAGTTTACAGTGTGATCCGCTCCGTCTTTTTTAGACTACTCCCCAAGACTGTAGCTACCGGGAAGAAACGTGCATCCCCCTCCCCTCCCTAAGGTTTAGAACACTTTACCGCTTTGTCGCTTTCTTAGCCCTGTAGGCTAATTTTTTCTGCTTATACTGTACTGGATTCTTGCGTGCGGACGGGGCCGTAAGGTGCCATGGCGGGCGACGGTAGGCAAGCACGCACGCCCGCACGCACGCACGCCTGAATCCGGTACAGTATACGCAGGAAAAAAGACGGCACTCTTTCTATCGGCTAAACTTCAGAAACGTCGATTTTAAACGCGGCGCGGACATTTACAGCTGCTCTCATTTCTTCCGCTCTAGTACTTTCTCCAACAGGGTGGTCGGTCAGCCTCGTTTCTTCTTCTGGTTGTACCTGTACCAGACTGGGCCGGATGCAGGCGTGCGGACGGTTTGCCTACTCGCACGGCGACGTAAGACGCCTCAGTGAGCGACTTTAAGATCAAGCACGCCTTAGGTCCTACTGTCCTACTAATCGTGGTGCGGGTGGCTTGGCCTGTAGCCGTGTCGCCTAATGGACGGGTCGCCTATTCCAGCGGGGCCATTAGGCTTCTAATGCGTTATCTCTAGTTATCTCCGGCTAATGCGTATCGAATAATGAACGGTGTATCTCAACGTTTGCCGACAGCATTATGATCATCACCAAGAAATGTGCCCCTAATGTCACTTTTCGCGCGATCGGGCAGTCGATCGGCCGATTTTTCTTTTGATGACCCCTAGCTGTAACCGCATGTTACATTTACAGTTTAGTTACGTGCGGGAGAGTTTGGAGCAGGGTGCAGGGAGCAAAAGGCGCCCTAACGGCGCGTCCTCCCAAGCACCCCTCCCCCTTCCAAAAAATAAATTAATAATCTAGGTGATCGCCCAGAAAGTACGTTTGTTTTCTCTGAGATTCATTCGACAAATTATGGGAGCTCGGCGCCTGCGAGACTCAAGGTGGGCCATCCCGCAGTGCACACATGCATTGCAGGCAATATGTTATCTACCTACCAGGCGCTTTGAGAGCATTTAGGGGCTGAACTAGACTGGTTCGTAACGGCGAACGACAAACGTACTTCCTGGATGATCCCTAGGTAAACCGCGTCCACATTTTGAGCGAAGTCGTCGAAAAACGGGACAATTTTTGATGATATTTTTTTTAAAATCTTAAATGTGCACACTGTGATGCAGTATTGCACTTGCAAGTGTGCAACTCCTCTGTTCTTCCCACACATTGTGCCACACATGATGTTTCACTGTACAGTTCTGCAGCACAAAATTAGGCAAACCTGCATCATTTTAATGAAAATTACGAATGTACACCACATGAACTCTGCTATGGGAAAGCATGTGTCACATCACCTGGTTTGTTTTCGCTAGAAAATCGCGTTTCGACAAGGTTCTTCTTTCCAAAAAATATATGCAATAGAGGCCCGTATGATGCAAATTTCGTTTTTGAAGCTTTCCCCCCTTAAGGCCCGTCTACAATACGACCTAAGACGTGTTTTAACGTGTCCTCACGAATTTTTGGATTTTCGGTTTGGGCGAAACTGATTGTTTCTGAACTGACTTTCGGTCTCGGGCGTTCGTCCATGTTGTAAGACGACACTGGAAAAACAAAGGCACTAAGGTCAAGGGCGCAGTTTAGTGCCTTTCCTGGGGCACTAAAGTTTCGTGCCTTTTCAAAGGCATTAAACTTGTATGGAACTCATATGAAGCTAGCCAGCTAAAGTTGTGAAAGGTCACATTTTTAGTGCCTTTGGAAAGGCACTAAACTTTGTTAGTGCCTTTTAAAGGTAGGGATTCGCACTTTTGTTTTTCCAGTGGAGTTTTAAGCCCTAAACCATGCCTAAACGAAGCTGTTGGCAGAAGCGCATCTCGCTAAAACAGATCTTAAAACTCGGCTTACGGCTGATTGTAGACGAAGTACGTTTAAGTTTCGATGAGAGATGCGGCACAGGAAAGGCATGTGCCACAGCCGCGGGATTTTCTTTCTAGGTTCTACACCTTAGAAGGAAAGGGAAAAGCAGTTACGCAATTTCGAAAATCGGGATCTGTATTCCAAGCCGCACCCATCGTATCGTGAGTACAGCGCGCCGTCGGGGTAGGCAACCCAACGTACATCCACGAGAATACTGTCTGCCATGTTTCAGATGGGCGCCTAAAAGTTAGGCAACCTAACGCACGTGCGTGTACGTCGGCTACCATTCAGTCGCGTGATCTGAATTCGACACACATTTTCTTCGCAAGCTACTTTAATACTCTTCCCCCACTGGCGGACGTTGGGACGGATGCGTTTTCTTCGTATAAACCCCCAAGGTAGATCGTTTGTGCCCAGCATGTTAGTACTCATCAATCTAAGGTACAGTTGAGTTCAAAGATATGGTTTTGATCCGCATGAGTAGATGGTTAAAGGGAAATTGCAGTGGTTGCCTGGTCTCACAAAACTAGATGTCAGCTCTTGCATTCACCTATCTTGCAGGTACAGCATACTGTTTTTCTAGATTTCAAAGAATCAATTGTAGTCACCAGGATTTGTATAAAAATTGATTCAGTGTAAAATGGTTGTTTCCTATGCCAATGCCCAGTTCAAAGACATGCTTACAGATTGCAAAAGTAATAGAACCACTTTATGTCCAAAATCGGTAACTTTAAGTGGATGTCATGATTAACAGGAAAATTATACATTAAGCAATGCTATAATGTGCACAAAAAAAATTGGTGCAATAATGTGCAATTCAATAAATGAGATGAGAGGACAAATAAAAGTTCAGTTTGAAATATCACCCTAGTATTTATTCCTCCTGAACAACAGTAGTTTTCTCGGATACATAAAGTCCATCCAAGAACTTACGGATATCCTTGTTCTTCACAGTGGTTGACTGCTGGATGAGGGCAGCTGTAACATAAAAATTATTGATTACAGTACCAATAAAAACAGAATCTAAAGGAAGAGGTTGAAGAGTGCAGCATATCAGAACACGTTGGGTATGTTTGACATCAATTCATTCAGACCCGAAAGAAAATCATCATATTGCTGTTTAAACTACATGACTATAAACATTTTAGGGAAACATAACTGATAAATCAGAACACGTTGGGTATGTTTGACATCAATTCATTCAGACCCGAAAGATAATCATCATATTACCAGATGGGAAGAATTACAAGGCAACTGTGGAAAGTAATATTCAAATATAATCTCAGAGAAACATATCTGTGACAATTCAGAACACGTTGGGTATGTTTGACATCAATTCGTTCAGACCCGAAAGATAAACATCATAATGCCACAGATACAAAAACTTCAAAATGCCAACATATGGAAACTATGCTTGGTAAAAACACTGATAACGGTAAATTGTAACACATCAGAACACGTTGGGTAAGTTTGACATCAATTCATTCAGACCCGAAAGATGATCATCCCAATGCTACATCTACCACACTAGAAAAATTTCCTGGACTGAGCACATTATCAGAACACGTTGGATTAATGACATCAATTCCTTCAGACCCGAAAGATAAAATCATCACTAAAATGCACTCAGCCATTGCAACATTAACATCAGATCATATGGTACACGTTGGAGTTGATTGTGTCATCACTTCTCAGACCCGAAAGTTGATCATCACATGTCAACTGACATTCACATAATTTGGTAGGAACTAATGCTCAGTATAAAAATGGTCATCAGCAGAAGTCAGACCCGAAAGATGAACCATCATAGCATTACTTTCAATCATCTATCGCTAAAGCGAGGTCTTGAGGGGCACACTGATGTTCGACAGTAAAATACACTCACCTGATCTTGAAACGTCTTCAATGCTGTTTCCTTCAATGATTAGCTCATCCTTCTGTTTGGTTGAGTTGGTAACGGTGACACCAGGTGCCATCTTAACCCTTCGGATGTATTTCTCACCCAAGAAGTTTCTCACTTCCAAGACGCTGTTATTCTCAGAGGTAACACAGTTGATGGGGAAGTGAGCGTATACCGCACGCATCTTGTAAAGGAAGCCCTGGAAAAGCAAGCATGAACATAGTAAACTCCACAACAGTGACTGAAAAATGTATAGGAAAAGAACAAGAACATACCTTGGTGACACCCTTCAACATATTCTCAATGTGAGAGCATACTGTGCGGACAGCGGCAAGCTCCTTCTTGGTTCCAAACCACTTCTCAACTCGGAGACGGCCTTCCTTGGTCATGTACATGTTGATGGCCAAGTGCTTGAAGGACCTCTTCAAGACACCGCGGGGACCGGTGATGGTCACAACACGGTTTTTGACAGAGGCTTTGAGCCCCTTGGGGATTTTCACCTCCTGTTTACCTAAGATCTGTTTCATCTTGGCTCTGAAACATACAAAAGGAGGCTATGAGTAAGTTCCACCACGTCGTAAAGAGGGGTTAGGAAAGAATTTGAGAGGAAGTGCAGCCGAGGATCATAAAAACACAATATTCCGCGCATGAACCAGAGCAAAACCTTCTGAATTTCAATTGAAAAGGGGCCAATAATACAAAACGAGCACAACTTAAGAGTTGCATTCGACAAATAGAATAGGTTAAATTGCCGGACTGGTACTTGATTAGGAAGATGTAAACAAATTAAAGAAAAGCCCTAAATTGTCCATAATTCAGAGGACGGGGCAAGTTACGACAAAATAGAGTTCAGGGCAGAAAAATTAGGATAATCAACAATTTCAAACAAATACGCTACATAAACACATTGGCAGACCGAGAGCGAGGGGACACCACAGGGCACCGCACAGACTGAAGTGTATTTATTGGACACAAAATCTGACACAAATGTAAAATCCTCACAAAATATGAGTTGAACTAAACAGAAAAATTCATTACGTTTCTAATTTGAGTGCAGGAGGGAAGATGGAAACAGATTACTAGGGCACTAAATACTTCTTACTTACACGTTATCGCCTCCACCTAAACCGGAAAGAAACCATCACCGCCTTGAGCCGAGAAAATACACGTTTCTTCTTTTTCTTGTTGTTGGTGTGCTTCTTTGTGTTGGTGGACGGTAGATGCAATGGTATACACTTGACGATTAAACTTTGTTTATAGAAAAGGCATTTAGTTCATTTTAGTACTTTATGTACAAAAAAAAAATCCTAGTCAAAATAAAAGTTATTTAATGCTTCTATTCTTATGATAGCGACAACAACTAACATCCCTATTTCATCAAATTCCTCCTCACAAATTTTTCATTCAAGGGGATGGGATAATGCCAACAAGAAAGCAGAAAAATATTAAGTGGTTTGGATTTTTAACTTTGAGGCGGTTTTCGGTGGCATGCGCCTTGGAAGATCCCTACAGATAATTTGATTCCCGATTTCTTGCCCGTTGGTTTTGGCATTTTAATTGAAATAACTTTCACTATCAGCCTGTCATTTACGACGAGTTTCCGTCGCCATTGTGTTGTGTCGACAAGGGTTAGTGTTAGTTACTACTTGTTAGACGCCCCGAAACCACCCCCTAGTATTATCTGCAGACATTTTTTTCCAACTAGCTCGCCTGGAAATGAGTTCGAAATCAGAGAAAGATAGGCAAAAGGCCATCCAAGACAAATGTCAACAACTACTGAATGAAATGCTGCGCGATGAAGACAACAAATATTGTGTTGATTGTGATGCCAAGGGTAGGTGTTAATTTGAATGCCTATGGATTTGATACACAGGAACTGTATGATTCACACCATTTATAGATCATCTACTCATATTTCCTCTCACTGAAGTCTTCCCATCTTATTTGTTCACTGATTTCTCCTCCTGCTGTGGTATTTTGCTTCACTTTCTGCTCGTTACTGTTAGCAGCTGACAGCTTGTCAAAAGTTTTTGACACTTTATGAAAACAAAAATTTTGAAGCTCTCTCATTGTGCTCATCTTGTTTCTACTTGTGTTCATACTGTCAAATTTTGGTATTATATTGTAGGTCCAAGATGGGCATCATGGAATCTTGGTATCTTTCTGTGTATTCGGTGTGCTGGAATCCATCGCAACTTAGGTGTTCACATTTCAAAAGTGAAATCCGTCAATCTTGACACGTGGACTCCTGAGCAAGTTGTGGTAAGTTTGTGTTCAAAAATTTTCTCAATTTCAAGTTAACAATATTGATGACATTTCTTTCTTCTGTAGAGTTTGCAAAACATGGGCAACAGCAGAGCTCGTGCAGTATATGAAGCCAATCTCCCCGATAACTTTAGACGTCCCCAAACAGACTCTCCTCTAGAGGCATTTGTCCGTGCCAAATATGAACAAAAGAAGTATATTGCCCGCGAATGGGTTCCTCCCACAATCGGAAAGGTAAGGGTTACTACGCTTATCCACAGACACATACTATAAAATATAATTTAACCTGTTCAGTTTTCAAGTTTTACATTCTTTGCAACTTCTCAGCTTATTTGTATCTGTATATTATGTTATAGGTAAATTGGGATAAAGAAATAGAAGAGGAGGAACAGGCTAGAAGACGCCGTAAAGAGAGCAAATCAGGTACACCACAACTAGCAAGAACTTTAACATCATCTCCAGGAGGCCATTCTATGACATCTGAAATACCTGCGCCTCTTCCTAAGCCAAAAAGCTCAGCGAGTCCAAAACCATCTCGCACCTTAGGATCAAGCTCTGCGAGTCCTGCTCCTTCCACTAACATAATTTCTTCTAGTGCTACACTTGATTTACTGGGCCTAGGTATTTAATTTGTTTATCCAATAATGATTTATGATTTTGTTAAATGAAGTACGTATCAGCATCCCATGTGATACTTGACAAGTGCAGCCTGTAGGGTGAACTTATCTGCTTTCCTTAACATATTTTGTGACCCTCCTGTCCCTTTCTTTATAGATACCCCTACTGGTAGCTCATCTTCACCCAGCAAAGGTGATGATATTTTTTCTGGATTTTTGAGTGCTCCGCCTGTAGCTGGCTCATCAGCAGCACTAAGCACAACACAAGCTCCAGAACCTCTCCAAAATGAAACTGCTGCTAATCTAGCAGACAGTAAACGGTCTGCTGAAGAAAATAGTTTCTTTAATCAGCCTGCTGCCACAGCTCAAGAGAAGAAGCAGCTCACCAAAGACTCTATTCTAGCTCTTTACTCCAGTGTGCCTACTTCTGCAACACCACCAGCACAAGCCCAGGCGCCCCAACAATTTGGAGGTATTCTCCCAAATTTTTCTGCTTTAGTTAATTTTTAGCCTGTAAATCTAACATGCGCTTAATTTCAGTGTTCCCCTCCCAAGGCATTGCTGGTTTTGGTTCTGTGCCCCCTACTGGTATGGGGCTGAATTATCCCATGTCCAATGGTATGATGATGCCCCCTGCTCCTAATGGGTCACAGGTATGTTGTATGATATTATCAATATTATCAGATTGTTTCAATTATACTATCTTATTTTTTTCCTTCAATTGTATTTACAACTTAATTTTTGAACTTTAGAATGGTATGTTTGGTTCCTCTGTGGGCCAATCTGGATTGGTAAATTCTGGTAGTGGCATTCCACAAATGACTTCTAATCCCTTCTTCAACATGACAAGTATACCTACCAACAGTGTACCTGTTCAAAATCCTATGAATCAGGTAAATACAAGAGTTACTGAAAATCTATTTTGGCATGCTTTTGGGTTTCTCTTCATGCACTGTGCACTGTCACTGTTTGCACCTTATTTTTTCCTTGCACATATATAAAGATACTTTATTGAACATTTGTCACTTAACATTATGGTTTTCCGGAACATTTGTATTCCTCTATTTTCTTGGAATTTTAATTGTTGACTTTAGTGGGTCATCCTTTTCTATATCTTCTACTTATTGGCATCACTTTTAAGTGCTGCCACTCTTTTGCTTGGTTGTGCGCTTACCATATAATATAATTGATCCTCTTGTTTCCGTGCCTTATACTTCTCCCTCTAGTTCCATTCTTTGCTTATACGATTCTCTTTTTCCAGCTCCCTCAACAAATGAATATGCTCAACTTGTCTGGGGCTCCTGGAGTTGGTATTCCTCAACAAGGTTTTGGAGCTGGAAGTACTGGTGGAAACCCATGGGCTAATCCAAGTCAGCCTATGACAATGCCTCAGTCCTCAATACCTCAAAGTCAAACAGCACTAGGTCATACATTAGCTACTAATTTATGGCAGTAATTTTTTTTTTAGGGATTTTGCACCTTCAATTTACATTGTGCATCAGCCCTGTTGACTATCATGATGTTGACAGTATTATAAGACTTGCATTAGCTCAGTTTCTTTGCTGTTTGCAAATTGTGCTAGCTTTTGATATCAATGAGAGAACTTACCATCATGAGACTTGTGCTTCTATGGTATTATTGGTTAAGTATTTCTTCATTCTAATTTCTAATAGTTAAGAAGAAATCCTCTGGATTAAGTGTGATTTCGGGTGGTTTCTACATTAAGAGTGTTGACTTCAAGTTTAACATATCTGCACATTTTTTCCTTTATTCACATTATGTATAGGTGATGGTTGTTCCTTAATTTGGCTGATAATGTGGAGCAAACATAGTGGAAATGGTGCACTGTAATTATTCAACATTTTCCTCAATTTTATTTGTTGTATTTGTTGAATTATGTATATAAGCAAGCCTGAACTGAGATTGAGGCGCTTTGCTATGTGCAATGGTTGTGCTTCAGATTGTGTCCAAATACAATCTGTGTTGTGTTTTATGGAATGTGTTACCAGATGGTGCCAAGAGTCTGTGCCAGCCTCTAATACATATTCCTTTACCCCGTGTATTTTCTAGGGACAGAAGTAATCATATTTGTTAACTTTCCATTTTTCAATATTTATTGTAGTTAATCTCAAATAATGTGATACTGTTCTCTACATTCCAACATGCTGAAATGCCTTTGCTGTTGGAAAGATGTGCCGGTATCATTTAGGGACCCTTCTATAATTGCTTTAGTAAAATGAGTTCATGCTCACTAGTGCCCATTGTTTAGTTAAATGTTACAATGACATTTTGGTAGTGTTTCAAATCCAAGAAATCTAGTTATTAAAACCCGCTTTATTTCCTGTAACTTGTGTGTGAGAAGGACAAAGATCCTGGTGTTGATTAGTATGTTGGTTGCCCAATATTTGTATCTATCCAACAACTTCACCTTGGCGTAGTTCCTCCTACGCTTGAGGACGTTAACTTGATTATAGTTTGTGTGATATGTTATTGTTTCATGAATTTAAAGAAAATACTTGGGTTGCAGCGGTTACCATTTTAAGTTTTAATAGTATTTTAATTGCCCCAGTTCACCATGTTGTTAAAATTTGGAAGTAGTTTTCCATATATATTGTCATATTTTAAAAACCTCTGGTTGAGAGTGGTACGAATATTATTTTTTTAACTGTGAATGTTTCATTTACAGGGTGTCAGTTTCAAACAAAGTACTTCCTGGTATTATCTCAAAATTAAAATGTTCTTTTAACACTTTAATTTTTTCCATGTTTTGTTTACCCAAAACCCTAGTTATAATTGCAGCATTTGAATCAGGAGGTTGGAAAGGTAAGAAATGAGAGAAGTTACTGGAATGGGAGTTATATCAGATCGTCACTTAACATACAATACTTCAAGTATACCTTTACTGTCAAATTGGAAACGGATTAATTTTCTTAGTCCTGTCTTGACGACAAAAATATTATGAAAATTAAATGATAGACTTAAGTTGAAAACTCTACAGTATTGGAAAATGGCTGTAAGTTGACATGACGCACCTGGGCATTAACTAACATCGTGCATTTCAGAAACCAAGAGAATGAAACCGCAATCTTTAAAACAATATTTAGCTAAAACAGGTTGTCATTTTCTGTTGATTCTGAAATAGAAAGGAAAAGTATACCAGCAGAAAATAAATTACATTTAAATTCATACTGTCCGGATGCTCAAAGGCATAATAAAAAGCAGATAATTTGAAGATTAAAAAAAAATAATCGAAAGTATGAGGCCAATTATCCTTAAAACATATGAAACAATCAATTTTATCCCCACAACCGAGGAAAACTTCATCATCCTTTAGCACACTCCATCAGTCTCATAACTTAAGTTATCCTAACATACTTATGTCAAGACTTGAAATATAACACAACAAAGATACACTCAAATGAGCTTCTCGTACATTTATAGAGGTCAGATATCTAATTGGATTACCCTACATAAGCCTGCTGCGCCGTTTTGTTGCAGGCGGTGGTACGGTTAATGGACTAATTGACTTATTGGATCCTGAATCATCACTGGCTTTCGCATGTGAAAATCGGGTCTGACGTTTGCCTTTGCCATTTGCAGATTGGTTGCTAACTGTAGTTGCAGCTCCTCGTTTTGGTGTGCTGACAGCATCATCGTCAGAATTATCTCTGCTTCTTTTAGTGGAACCTGTAGAACTTACTGTAAGTGAAGGGGAAAAAATATCATAAAGCATTATTGTGTTTCTATTGTCTAAGCTTCAAAACCTCATTAAAGTTAAAGATGACGAATTACCTGAAGAATCTTCATCATCTCTCATGATGGAGGCTCGTTTGGGTAATCTGACATCCTTGCTGACTATTTCTTTCCCCTTAGGTGTATCTTTTTCTCTTTTCACGTCCACTAATTCTTTCGATAGTCTTTTATCTTTCTTTGATTCTTCTTTCAAATCTTTCTTGGGTTCACGTAAATTGCTTTTCTTTTCCTCTTTCTTTGATGTGTCCTTTAATTCTTTTTTAATACTTATTTCTTTGTTGCCCTCTTTCTTGAAATCTTTTGAATCTTCTTTCTTAATATCTAGAGGGGGGGAGGGAGCTGGTGGAGGAGGCATTTTTGTACTTTTCTTAAGAACAAGTAAAGGACCATATTGAGACTGAGGGAGAGAGAAGTCTTCAGTCTCATTAGGAAAAGGTAGAACCTCTGTTTCTTCCTGTAAAAGAAGAGGATAGAATAAATATAAAGATATAAAATCAGACACAGGAAGATGTGATTACAGACCTACAAGGTCCTTCTTACCAATGCCTGCAGATCATACATTGTATCCAATCGATCCCAAATTACTTGTGAGGATATATCATCTCTTTTCACAGCCTCTGAGAATTTTTCCAGTATACAAGCCATATGAAAATGCTTGGTAACACCTGTAACGCAGGAGGAAATTAAACATATGGGCAGTCATTTAAAAAAATGTCTCTTAGGTAGAGAAAAAAAAAGAGTTTGCAAATAGAAATAAGTTAAATTAACTTCTTTTAAAAGAGGACATTCAAAATGAAAGAAAGCATTTGTCTTCTGTAACTTAATGGAATTTAATATATTTTAAAAGCAACGGTCAAAATCGTTTTAAAATTTTTAAAGCCTATGAAGTATCATGAAAAGCAATATTCTGGTTGAGCTGTAAAGGTTATGGATGGACTGCACAAAAAGTTGCACCAGTACGAAAATATGGCCAGGAGCTCTAACGAAGAGGTTTATACTGTATTTTTGATATAAACCACGAGGGTGAAAACTTTAAACCAGAAATGTCAATAAATTAAATATTAGTTGAAAACGACAAGCATCAGATACCGGTACGGCTGTCATACTTGAAGAATGGAAGTAGTGGTAAATACAAGCTTACCGACAGGTTTGTGGCCCATCAATGCTAACAATAATTTAACTTCATTGTGAACGTTCCATTCTATATTGTTATTCACGCTAATTTTCGACGGACAATCTTCCTCCGTCGCCATGTTTACTGTTTATGATTTTTTAAAGAAACAATGAAATTATTTTCTGACAGTGTAGTAGTAGTAGTGATCCTTTACCAACACACTTTCTATTTTAATGATTTTAGTAGATGAGTGGATAAGCGTATGTATGATGTAAAAACCAAAAAGAACGATAAACCTCATTGTATTTATATTTCAATAATGTATTGCACATTCAAAAATATAAAGGTTCCAACTGAGTTCCTTTTATTAAAAACTAGTCATTGCTCCGGGAAATGTGGTCAGAGTGTGCGTACGCCCCACTCCCCACCCCCCGTTCCTCGCGCTCCAATTACGAAGCGAATCAACAAACTCGAGAATTGTTACCGGTTGTTACTTTGGTCATGCATGAGTACCCATACAACCCAACAGAATCTACAGTCGAAACAGAAAATCAAACGGACAACTTGCGGTACTGAAGATGGGGTTTCGATGAATATATATTGATCAGTTATACCGGACCGGCTGTAAGCAAATGTTTGAGCGGTATCCAAAGTAACCGGTCTTTCCCCATTTGGGATAAGGGGGAAGGAAAAGAAGGGAAAGATTACTGAACCTGAAGAAGTGAAGAATTGCGTACCCTGAAGTAGTATTATCTTTTTTATCATCATCATGGAAAAAGATCTTTTGATGAGAGAAGAGGAGTTTCATAAAATTAATTCAGAGCTTGAGGAGCGCACAAGTCGTATTTTGAAGGAAATAGATGCAGCAAAAGTAAGAACAACACTTGCGTAATTAAAAAGGTATAATACATGGTGTACATGTGTACTGTGTTAAGCGTTTGTAAATGTTCCAGGGGAAAGCAGGACTCAGCAATGATGCAAATCAAGGAAATAAGTATGATCACTATAGAAACTTTAGACAGAAATTTGTTCAAACTGTTCAGAAAATTACTCATTGTTTTTTACTAACAGCTTGAAATTCAACCATACGAAAGCATTTTCACTTAAAAGTGAAAGCACAGTACTGAAGTCTTCAATGAAAGAGGAACGAGGGATAATAACATCAAATAAAAAAGAAATGTAGGGGATTTGTTGCGGTAGGAATTGTTGAGAATCAATCTATGTCTAGTTGTTTCACTTAATTCTGTAATATTTCAGTGTTGAGGATCCTTTAGCAATTCGCAGCAATGGATTGGGATATGAGGCCACAAACAGGCTTCTGCGAGCAAAACTCACTATCTTGAACAAAGAAGTGGACACACTTCGACAGGACTACAAAAACAAGGTATTACTTCCTATCTAGCTTTTTGGTATCCCTAATCCGAGAAAGCAATCCATGACTGAACACTTCAGGTGTGGAGGGGGTACCCAGCCAGAAATGCTCCATCTAGAGAACGTCTAAAATAGACCTAGACAAACTCTAGCCGTTCTCTAGAGGGAGCATTCCTGGCTGGGTGGGCAATGCTATGTTAGTGGGCTCCGCGATCAGGGTAAAGTTCAGTGGTATCCTCTCTTCTTTGTTTTATCTTTCAGTCTGAAGAATCCAGAAAGTTATCTGCTGACCTTACTCGCTGTGAAGAAGAGGGAGCTCGTCTTGAATCTTCCCTATCAGTAGCAAGAGATACTTCAGCAAGTCTCCAGAGCAAACTTGAATCTGTTTCACAACAATTGAGTCAATCTCAAGCTGAAAATATGTCTTTAAATAAGGTAATAGAAAGCAAAAACAGTTTAAAGCTGGTACATATCTTTGTCATGTATCTTGCAAGAGTTATGTTCAAACTTGGGATGTCACAGGAATTAGTGTCATTAAAGAAAGAACTGAAGAGTCAAAAGCAACAATCATCAGCTATTGAATTAAGGTTAAATAGAGCACTGGAGGATATTGAAAAGTTGCGTAACACAGCAAAGCAGGCTCAGCTACAAGTTAAGGTTTGCTTTACTGCAAGTATTCTCCTGTATATTTACGGCTTTATAATCTTTTCAATAAATAAACAATTTTTCCTGTTTCTGTAGGAAGAAAGAGAAAGTCAAAGAAAGGCAGGGGACCAACTTCAATCCAAAATCAAGAGTTTAGAGCGTCAACGCACTGAACTCACAAGTGTGTGCACAAAGCAATCACATTTAATCGACAACCTCCGCCGACAAAAGGTAAAGTCTAAAACTCAACTTATTTGCTTAGTTTAGAAAATATTTGTGAGTACAATTCACTCATTACCATCTGTTGAATTTGTTCTAGGTTCATTTAGAGGTTACACGATTTGTGAGTACAGCAGAAACAGAATTTGACAACATTCTTGACTGGTGTTTAAAGACTGAAAGCAGTGCAGTAAAAGCAAAGCCATAGGTTGTGGTGACGAAACCATGCTAAAAGGCATATCTAATATCATACAATAAATTTATTCATTTCACATCATTGGACTTATGAGTAAATAACTAGTGCAGCTGTTGATCGCCAGAAATGGAAGTAATATTTCTGGACCAACAGCTTCAACTATGATCAACAGACAAGGAAGTTCATTACAGTACACATAGTATACAATAACAACAGTTCCAATTATACCATCAGGTATATACAGTACATTAATACATTTTGAAAAATCAAAAAGGGGACACCAGTTTTATATTTAAAAAATCCCTTTTAAATTTTAACTTGCAAAGAGTTAACAAACAAAGATAAATGTATAATTGATAGAACAGGTCGGGTAAGAGGCTTACTGACCAGCAGAACACTTTACCTTAAATTAGATACATAGAATGAAATTGATTAAAATTTGTTTTGATACAATCATTCATAAAAATGATACAAAATTCTCAAAAATATCAAATCTCTCATTGTGAGAGTATGCTCTCATTCCTTATAATTTTTTGAGCTTGCAACCAAACAAAAACATGTTATTGGAATATTAATCTAAAATTGTTTCATTTATGAGAAAACGGAAAATATATCTACAATTAAAATTAAAAGTACTGTAACAAGAGAACGAACATTTCAGAAGTCAAATTTGGATGCAAGCCCAACATGCAAGAAACGTTATAAAAGAAAGCCGTGAAAAGGCTGGTTTCTTTCATTAAGAGCAAACAAATTCTTACTTTGCTTATCTATGGAGTCATCACAGTCAATATGGTGAGTTGTTAAGCCCCTTAAAATTAAAAATTTCTTTAGGTTATTACCAAAAATTAATCTGAATATTTTGAAAATGCTGGACTGAGGGTAAAAGCTTCAGTATTAATAAATACTCAGAATTCATATAAATGGCATAACAAATGAAGTTTACAATTTAAACATTTGCTGCACCAAGGTGCTATGATTCAGTTAAAACAACTTAACATGGATCTCTTTAACAAATGAAACATTACATTTCCGTCATCCCAGAATAGTACCTTAAAGAGGTATGATGAAAAATGTGAACAGGAATGGCATCTCTAGAAGACACACACAGTCCACATGTTTTTACATAGAATACATAAACAGGTTTAAACACAAAACAGTATCTGGAAAACCCTGTGAAGGAATACGAATTGGAGCAAATGAAGGAGGAACTTCAGATCCCTTTCTTAAAAGATGAGATTATATGTTTCTACAAAACCAATCTGACACTTTCTTACAATTATAGAACATACAGGATAAGTAACCTTATCTTAAAGAACAAGTCCTTCATAACTTACACCATCAGCTTCAGGTGACTCCATTCTATTGCGAAGGTGTTCTACAGTGTTACTAAAATGTTTACTGATTTGCTCTGTTTCTTCATTTGTTTCTAAATTAGGTAGCTCTTCATGAATTTTACTAATAAGATGATTCAACATTTGAACTGTGACCTGAGGAAGAAAAATCTATTAAGTCCATGCAAACCACTATTTTGTTTTTACCTGCACTTGTAGGATATATTAGCCGTATGTGGTAGATGAGATTATTTTCACTATGATCAAATGTTAAATTTACCTGATCATTTCCTTTCTCGTAAAAGTACAAATAATGGTTGAGAAGCTCAACGAAAAGTTGCACTTGGACTGATGAATCCATGCATTGGTTTGCAATACGTACACCTTTCTTAAGGCAGTCAAGGACGCGTTTTCCATCATGTCTCTAGAATGTAAAATATCACATGAAACGAAAATTGCAACTACACTTTCACTACATGTACCTCATTATTCAGGAAACTAATAGAATTACCTCCTCTCCTGCAATTGTTTTCCCAGACCAAAATAGATGACAACATGTGGCTACACCACGACACTGGTCGGGCTTTTTGAGGAGTTTAGAAGCTGCTAGAGTACATTGAGTACGAACTGGTTCTGCATTTTCTTCACTCAGACAAGCTAATTGTTCAAATGTGCCAACCATCAACGTCATGGCCGCAAGCTGTGCTTTACTATCAGAGATTTCATCCTCGTATATAGAAAATGCTTGTGAAATGAACTCGTAGGCAACTGTTTCATAATCTTCAAACTGTATCCTTCCAACAGCTAATGCACCTTGAAGAAAGAGTCGAAGTGGCAATTCAGCTAACTCTGCTTTCATTAAGGCAGTTATAGTTTGATGACAAAACTTGAAGATTTTCTGGCACTTTTTTTCCCACATGTCATCCTGAAAACAATCCAAAGAAGGTAAATTTCAAGGCAGGCTCTGTTTCAGTAAAAAAGAAAAAGGTAAACATGTTAAATAGTAGAACAATTAGCTTAACCATAACACACCTGATCTTTCAGTGCCTTATATTTATATGCAAGTTGGTATGCTTGGAAAACTATTGGAGGGAGAGTGAACTTGATTCTCCTATTTCCACCTGCACCAAGATGTTTCCTTGCAGCACTAAGGATAAGGTATTGCTGGTCAGGAACATCAGATTTGAGATGGTGAATCAATCTGGAAAAAATGAAATGAAGATTTGAAAAATTCAAGAAAACAGGGAAAGGAAAGAAATAATACAACCAACACTCACCTGCCTACAAGTCCTTGTTCTTCTGCAAAGTCTTCTGGATCCTCCTCCTCATGAGGTTGGTCTGGTTGATCAGCAATAAGCGAAGCAACCATTGTTAAAACTGTGTCAACCTGTAATCATTTAGATATCAGTAGAAGAGATGGCCTCCTCAAACAATTAAATGCCAAGAAACAACAGATTAATACAACTATGCACACCTGCTCTGGGGTTGGGATAAGTGTGTCATTTTCAAGGATATTAGTAATGACATAAGCTGCTAGAGACTTGCGCCCTCTATAGTCAAAGTATTCGAGAAGAGGTGCATACTGTTGGAGCTTCAGCACTGTCAATATGTTATTATATTGGTCCAAAGGAATTTTCATTAGCCGCATTAACTCTCGGGAGACTGCACTCTCATAGCTGACTCTGAGAAAGATAGGATAAAAAATGATACTTAGCGAAAAGCTTGTCTCAAAAGGAGATTGAAATGTTTTAGTGTCTTACCTTTCAACATTGAGTTTCTCAAATATATTTAGTGTACTACCCAAGACTTTATCAACATAGTCAACCCTATCTGCATAGCACTTGTGGGCAAGATTTACCAAAGAAACCTCTAAGGAGACCATGTCCTCGGGTGGCATATCTTGACGAGACTAAAAAATAGAACAGGAATTGATAAGCAGAAGTAGCACACACAAGGAAACTAACAAGCAAAATGATACATAATAATTGTGATGAACTAATCAAAATACAGGGAGCATTTACTTGAATAACAGAAGCCACTTGTTCAGAGAAAATATCAAATAACTTGACATCATTAGGAATTCCACCTGATGACTCATTGCGCTGTGAAAATGTTGCCAATCTGTCAACTAGTGATATGATGACATTCTTGACATTCACACCAGGCTGCAACTGTGCACAGGACTCTAAAAAGGCATTAAGTGTTTGCAGGTGGAATTCATCTGGGAAAACCTGGATAGAAGGAATATTTAAGTTAATGAGTGCTGTAAATTTCAAAAGTCAATTTCACAGGGAAAACAATGTATTAAACACTTGGAGTCTTGAAACATTTACCTGAATAATACATTCCATAAGATATTCTTGAGCAATAGCATCTCTACAACTCACAACCTGTTCTAGGATTCCAGGCAGCACAAGCTGAAAGTGTAATTAGAAAATCAAATAAGAAATAAATTGCAAACATCAACTGTGATAGTTTTATAGATTTGATAACTCACCTTCTTATACAGTTCTAAATTTACATTCTCAAGCTGAGACAATCTCACCAAATTAGTCCCAACTAAAATTTTAAGTTCTTCTCTCTCCCTCTCTCTTCGTTCCTTATCACGTGAATGACCCTGATGCTGCATTCTTACCCAAAGCTTGTTCATTTCCGCAAAATTCATCAGTACAAAGTCAACAGCATCTCGAACCTTGAACAATGAGTAAAATATGTACTTTGAAAGTTCAAGAAGAAATATTAAAGCACATTAATTTAGCACAGTTAGGGTAAATAAATACAAATTGATTAAAACAAACAAAAAAACTTCTTAAATATACCTATGCAAACCTTTGGTTTGGGTCTCACTACAATATGTGGATGTAAGTTAGCATGTACTCACCGTGCCTTCAGACTCTTCAGCATTGTCTTCAGGATTGTCAGGTAGGATGTTCCTAGTAACTTGAAGAAGATAGTTACGTAGGAACAGTCCTCGTAGTGGATGTTGTACTCCGCGACACATTTCAACTAAATCACGAAGAAGATCACGCTTCAAACAAGAGTTAGTTTTGATGTAGACCAAACCAACTGTGATCAGAAGATACCTAAAGAATAAAAGAGTAGACAAATAAATAGCAGCTGTACCACACTCAATATAAGAACAAGGTCAACTGGCTGAAAGGTTACTAACAATCGAGGAACAATGTTCCCTGCGTATTGAACTAGTTCATACAGATCAGTAACTTTACGACCTTTCTGGAACTCATCATAAAGGTGGAGCTCAAGGTGCCGTAGCTCATCAGTGATTGCCATGTCTGAGATAAATGTTAAGCTTCATACAAACTTATACTGCAGTTGATTCAAATGAAAATAAAAACAAAAGAGCAAAAAAAAGAAGAGATAAAATATCCAAGGATACATAGTTCATAGTAACTTTTTGGTGACAACAAGGACGTTCGGAGCTCTCCAAGCATAGTTGATGCATTTTTTAATCCGTCCATTAGTTTTCCACCGTCGAGGGAGCGTTTCATTTGAAATGCTTGTGTTTTCACGATGCCCAATGCTTCATCAAGCATCTTTTCCTGTTCTTCTTGTGCAGACATTTGTGGTGCCATCATTGAAGAGCTGTACAAAATTAAAGAAAACTGATTAATAAAGAAAATAGAACAAAGGTGGAGGACAACTTTGAGACAAGTAAAGAAGTAAGACATCATTTTGAACATGACATTTTTTATACCCATACACCACCATACATAAATGTTTCTTTCTCCAGTGGGAACTACTCAATCACCTCTGTTAGTAATGATGCAGACAAAGTTGGTCTCGTATAGCAGACACACCGATGAACACCGGCTTTGCTCAAGATACTCGACCACAAGGAATAGTTAATAATAGTTTTACAGAATACAATTCTGATCACCAGTGCAATAATTTCATTATGTAACCAAAACACAAAAAGAATACGAAACGACAGTCGCTGTGCCGACTATACGACATGCAAAGGTCCAAACACCCGTGTGAGTACGAATTTGAGACAAGCAGAAATCAAAATTTTGTGGGACTCATACCGGAACATTGTGAAAACCGGAGACACACAGCAGATTCCTTGATTGAGATAAATTTAACCTTTGACAGATTTACAGCAGGCAATGTCAGTGGACAGAGGTTGTGTTGACAAACGTGAACGTCGGTTGTCCGCCGTCACACAACTTAATACAACAAACAAACGGTAATCTCAACGAAAGATCCAGCTTACCAGAATCACGCAAACCTTCTTGCCTCGCAAAGAAGTCCGCTCGCCGAGACTTAATTGTTGATTGGTTTGATTTGATTTGAGATTTCGACGAGGTCGAGGCGGAATAGCAACATGAAATGAACTCATGAACTGGAGGGGCGGTGGCGGTGTCGTAGATTTCTTTGAGTATGCACCCAAATTTTCATAGTATGAGAAAATAAGTAAAACAATTTCCAAAAAGTTGACTCGCTTTCCCCTTAACAGTCACTGTTTTTGTGACGCGGCAACTTCTCACCCTTGCCTAAAGTGACACATACTTCTTTGAACTTTGTGTGAGGTTTTTGTTGTTTCCTTGTTTATATTGTGAGGTTAAGGGGTTCGACTACAGAGATGGACGAAATTCACAAACGTTTGATTAACAGACATATAATCGACTTAAAGCGCACCCACTATGAACGGCTCATTCATGCAATTGAAAGGTTGGACAAGGAAAATAAAGTAATTCCCCCACGTCTTCTTTCCCGATGGAAGGTCTGAAGTAGTTTTTGTCCTCACAAAGCTGGTGTTTACTTGATTTTTCCTACTACCATAAAATTTTATTTTTCTCCTGTGTATTCCTTGTAGGAACTGAGAAAGATCGGTTATACGGAAAGTCAGGCTAACGAGGAACTATATTGTGAAATTCAGAAGAGAGGCCCAAAAGCGTTTCAGCTATTAGCTGACAGCCTTAACAGTTCAGGTCAAAATGATTTGGCTTGCTTACTGGATCCAACCTTGCGGTATAGTACTTCTGTATTATTATGTATTACTTGTGTTACATATTGCATACTTTGTACAATTTTGAGCATTACGTTTATTTCTGTAAAATGCTCTGTTAGTGCTTGCAGTTTATCTACTTTATTTTAGTTCTCTTGTTTTATCTACTGTAGAGTCCCGGAAGCTGATGATGATGATGATGATGAGCAGCCTTTGGTAAGTTAATCTTTTGGCATTAGGTGTACCTGAGTCCCGACAAGAGGATCGCTTGGGTCTTGAGTCTTTGCAGAGACCGGGCTTTGGTCTTTGCACAGACTGAGAGACCCAAGCTGCCCTCTTGACTGAATACAAGCTGGATGCAGATTTTGGCATTGATCTAGTTTTTGAAACTAGCTCACATGGTTCTGAAATTAAACTGATTTTTCCAGAATTATGAGTATTATGATGATGATGGTGTTCATTTTTTCCATCTGGATGAGACCTGGAATTCCGATTGTTATGAAGCAGATAGGATAGCTTTGAAAAATCTCTTTCTGCAATTAGGGTTTACGTTACTACCAGTAAGTTATTATTTTGGTTAGGAGATCATGAAGTATAGACATTGTATACACACATTTATGTGACACTCCTCAATTTTAAATTTAAATTTTATGAGAGCCTTCTCTTACCTCTACCTAAACTGAGGGTGTCTCCTATGATTGTGTTGTATCTGTAGTGGTTTATTTGTTTTTTGAGAACACAACATTTTTGTTTCAGGATAATGGGTTTGCTGGATCAGAAGCTCTCAGGTCTCTGGTTGTTATAAATTTTTGCGCCCTTGACAATGGTGGTGTAGTCCGGGAAAATGCATGGCTTGAAATGTTCAGCAATCAATCTGGATTGTATGGAAAACCCAAAATATTGATGAGCATTCGGTACAAGTGAGTGGCTCTTTCTCATAATGCATTAACAGTGTTTCCCCTCTATTCACAACCTATTAACTCTGATTCCAATTCAATTATCTATCAACAGGGGCATGGTTTGTCCAAACTACACAGCCCAAGACTCTGGAACGTCCTACAAAGCACACAAAGATATTCTTCAGTTGCAGATACTGGTGACACCATCTGAAAGAAAAGGTGATTGTTATTGTGACTGACAGACATTGCCCTTATGTACTAGTTTTTTTTTTTATCTACAATTGTGTAACATCTGCTTCTTTTTGTTGTAGATGGAGACTCAGTCTCTGAGGAGATGAAACACCTCATCAACATTTTTGGCAGAGAAGACTCTCTCCACATTAAAGACAAAGTGAAACTGGTAAGTTTTAAGTACTGGTCTTCCGTTTTTGATCACTTAATTTCAGTGTACCGGTTTTGTATACATTGTTCAAATTTATTTTCTAGCTAAACCAAGCCTTAGATGATGCTGGTTTTGAACCCGTAATTTCACTTGACAGTGATTTTTCAAAAAGATTTTGCCTGGACAAAAAACCCTTACTTACATAATTACCATCAGTCTCCATAATTTGTACTCTAATTTTTGCCAGTCTTTGCTCAGTTTTCCATTTTTTAAATATATTTTTAAGGCAAAGGCTCTCTATG